ATCTACACTCATCATATTTTGTATTATTTACTTCTGACTTCATATTGCATTTCATGAATGTTGATACTGTAAAGTATTTACCGACAAATATTCCTTTCTTTTAAATAATTTATAGAGAAATTCCTAGCAGTATGTTATAAAACTGCTGATCGAGCAAGTAGATGAGTTTGTATATTTGGGCTGCGTACTTAGCAGGGATAGGAGATATTATAAGGATATAGAACGACGAGTGAATGCGGGAAATAGAGTAAATGGGGCCCTGCACTCTATTGTGAAGAGTCAAAATGTGTCAAAAAAGGCACGTATGGCAATTCACAATGCTGTGTTGGTCCCTACTTTAACGTATGGTAGTGAAAGTTGGGTGTGGTAGAAGAAGCACGAGAGTAGAATCAACGCAGTAGAAATGCGGTCCTTAAGGAGTATATTAGGGCTGTCTAACGACAGGGTAAGAAATTGTGTAATAAGAGAAGAGTGTGGTTTGCAAAACGATTTTGTGACCAGAATTAAGAAAGGAATGCTTCAGTGGTTTTGATCATGTGGAAAGAATGAATGAGGAAAGAGTGACAAAGAAAATTTATGTTGCAGAAGTGAATGGCAGAGTCGAAAAGGGACGTCCTAGGCGAAAATTTATCGACCAAATTGGCGATTTATTGAAAACGGGCCAAATTAGGAGTACCCTTAACCGACGAGCATGTATGCGTAGGTGTATGGATGTGAAGGAGGCGAGAGAGGTGTGTCAGGATCGTGCCAAATGGAAGTCTTTTGTCTCTGCCTACCCCTCTAGGTGACAGGCGTGAGTGTTTATGTTATTTTATGTTTATCAACATCATCGTATGCGTTTACCGGGCTGGCTACCGAAACACGAATGAAATTGTAAACAGCACGTTAATCTTCATATAAGCAATATCTTTTAAGCCTGTAGTGAGCTTACTTACTGGAATGGAATCGAAGACACGACGAAAATAAGGCTCTAATTGCTTTTGTTTAGTGCGCAATAAATTAAAACGTTCGCTGAGGACCATGGATCTAATGGAACTAAATTAACCCTTAAGACTTGAAGAAGATTTTGTAAAGAAAATAATTTAATAATGAACATAATTTATTTTAAAACTAATAAAATTAAAACAAAACGAACCAAAATAACCGAATTAGCCCAACGGTAAGTAAGCTGAATTGGCAACGTATATCTTATAGCTCGAAGATCGACTACCGGTGAGAAATAAAGGTTTACTAGTGGCAAGCTCATATCGTTAACTGACACGAGGTTGGTCAGTGAGCTATGGATAAGGCTTAATCTCAGAGTTTCTCTGCGTGATAGACTTCGTAACAAACATACCTGTAGTAGAAACAGAGTAACGTAGCCCAACGGATGAGTGAGTTTTAGTAGCAATGGACTGTCCATATAGCTCGATGAAACTACAACCAATACGTAAACAAGGTTCTCGAGAGGCATCCTCGTGACGATAAGCAAGTGTAGGGCAGCCTCCAGTAGATGGAGTGACGACGCGGTAAGAGATGCAGGATGTCATTGGATGCAGGTTGCTAAGGCGGACATGCTGTAATGATGATGGTTTTTGCTACAACTGCGACCACACTGAATTTTTTACAAATTTCAAGTGTTTCTCTAGAAATAAAATGAAGCGTACCAAAAATTCTTATATTATATGTGTTACACAACCATTTATTAAAATTACGACGTTAATTATTTAAGCCAAGGTAGCTTAAGGGCTAAGCACTCACTATAAATTTCACAGTACGCGAGCACTCGGTTTCGATCCCCGTCAGTACCAATGAAATTGTTAATTGCAATTTTAAGTGCTGATTTACCACGTGTTCGGGAGTGACGCAAAACATCGTGAGGAAATCTGCACGTCTGAGAAATAAAAAAAAATATTTCGAAGACATGTGAAGTTTGCTAAAATGCATTGGGACAGGGCAGCGGACATTTTTATGTCCTAAAACTCTTTCAGAAATGAGAAGAGGCCTGTGTATAGAAGTGGGAGATATGTAGGCTGTAACGTTAACATTTTACTAATAATATATATTTTTTCAACTATTGTATGGCAGTGCTTGATTACTATTCCATCTGATTATAGTATTAATGCAGCCAAAGATAGTAAAATGTAATAACTTATTTTAAAAAAAGAGCCTGTTCATTCGTTCACTCTTACCTAGGTCGAATGTGTAGTATGTCGAGAACGGTTAAAACCTACATGCAGTAGGTTTTCAGGATTATCACTTCTTCAACTCTCGCCAAGAACCAATAATAAAAAATTTGCTGGTTTTCGTCACTAATTATGCGAACTACAGAAAAATTATGCTACTATTTTATGCAGGCATTTTGTATAACTGCCTCAACTTCTACGACGTAGGAACGTAGCAGATAGAAGTGTTCTTTTACGGCTGGCCGTAATATTAGCCTATAGTTTTTCAGCGAGATATGGAGAGGCCTATTCTTGGAGTACTTCGTCGTGATAGAATCCGTAATTCAGATGTCAGCAGTAGAACCAGCAGGGAACCTACATAACCAAATGGATTCAGTGTGCTAAATAAAGCTTATAATATATTATATTTCATAACATTTTTAACTATTATAAGACATTGCCAGTTATTCCAATCTTTTTTTGCACGCATTATTAACGTCAAAGCAAACCGTTTAGTTTGAATACGTGGTATGTCGACAATAAAGGAGACCAGTCGAGCAACTGGTGGTCCAATGATGGAATGAAGAGGGAAGAATTAAGTCTTGCAATCCTTGCACACATTTAAGAACCTAAAACCACCAGGTAAGTGGAGTAACTAAATATAATTCTGTAAAAGTTAATTGATAGAATCAGGCGTTACTTTGCGGATATCCATTATAATAAAAAATTAATTACTTCGCAACCTTCCGCTAACTAAATACAATGATGAGTCTTACCTGGATTGAAGAGCAACTCCCGCCCTCCCTCAATGGCATGCACTAACTCCGTCACCACTAGATCCCAGCACCACTACTTCCAACACCACTATTCCAGATAGGACACACCATCGACGACAATACGACACGTGTTTCGCCTCTACACGAGGCATCCTCAGGTGATGTAGACTCTACGGTGACTGACCGCTAAGTGAGCGGCGAGCCGAAACAGCTGCTTACGGCTGCATACACGCCGATACAACCGCTTCCCACCAAAGTAGCGAGTGACCGCGCCGTGCGATAACAAAACTGCGACTAATTGTTATGATTAATATTTTTTAAATATTATTATTGGAGGGTATCAATATAGTTTTCTCATCTGGTTGCGTTCTATAAATATATAATTATAAATGAAAATGAAAAGATAAATATACATAAATATCAATAATATAAAATAACACGAGGTTCTCGTCATACGGAATGGTAATATCGACCAAAAATATCCTTGACTGTGCCCGGTCCATCAGCACAATATCAGGCTTATTCGTAAGAATAGTTCTGCCTGTGATGATAGCCCGGTCCCAATAGAGCCCAGCGCGATGAGCACCTTCCGGCAAGTACTTGTAATAAGGCAATTTCCGATCCACGAGACCGTATTTCAGAGCGAGCTCCTGGTGAAGAATTCTGGCTACTAGGTTGTGCCTGTGCAAGTACTCAGAGTTAAAAAGCGCCGAACAACCGGATATGACATGCCTAAGTGACTCAACAGGATGGCGATAAGCTCGACAGATGTCGACGGTGCCATCCTTTAGGATGTATCTCCGATAGTTGTTGGTCTTAATAACCTGATCCCGTATTGTACAGACAAAACCCTCGGTTTCCTTGAAGAGATCACCAAAGCGTAGCCAGTGGAGGGAGGCTACTGTGTCTACGAAAGGCTCATGTAGAGCCTTGTAGAACCTCCCGTGGAGCTCATTCTCCTTCCATACGATCTCCCAGTCGGAAATGCTCTGCACTGCCGGGTCTTGCCATTGCTCGTTGGCTAAGGATAGAGGGGTAAGTGCTTAATCACAAGAAATGTCGTCCTTTAAGAATGGATCATCCGATCTCGCCAGGAAGTAACCACGGAGGCTGCACACTTCGCGATTATGCATGGTGAGCGCGCTCGAGAAGCCACGCCCATCATGCTTTTGCGGCAAGTACAGCCTCATTATCGACGATCTCGGATCCTATGGGACGTCATGGTAGTGCGGACTTTACTATCCAGGGCGATAAGTTCAGTCTGAGTACACCTGAGTATGCCAAAGGTATACATAAAGACAGGCATGACCCAGCCGTTATATGCGTGTGCCTTATTCACACCGGAAAAAAGGCTGTTAAGCACTTTGGTCAAGCGTGCATAAAACAAGTTGCAAACTGACTGTTTCATACCAGCCTCATCGATACCGATGTTCTGTGACATACCCAGGTATCGGTAGGTTTCAGCCTCGGAAAAGGTTATTAAGTTGACGGGCATAGATAAGTCTATGCCCTCAGAGTTAGCAACCCTTCCCCTTTCAACATGGAGGACCGCACACTTATCCGTCTCCAGCTCCATTCCAATGGAATTGCTAAATTCACAAGTGATGTTTAGCAATTCCATAACATTGGAGTGACTGGAGCCGAATAACTTGAGGTCATCCATATAGAAAAGGTGGGTCACTTTTGTCCCTCTTTTTCCGTAGCTGAAATCCCCTCCCGGAGCCCTCCAGTAAGGTACTGAGAGGGTTCAGAGAGAGGCAGAACCAGATTGGACTCAGACAATCGCCCTGGAAGATAGCCCCTTATTATCCTTATGTGGTTCTCCGCAGCCATCATCCATGGGAATCATGGGAAGTTCCGACGGTTGCGTTTCACCACTTTGCCAATGACCGCGTCAATGAGGAGTGTTTCCTTGGTTCCACGACCACCGCCTTGACATGCATTTTGAGCGCGCGTCATCACCTGATTTGAGTCCAGGTGACGAGTGATTCTCGCGCTCAAAATGGGTGTTAGTGTATTGTATATGGTCGGTAGACACGTGATGGGGCGGTATTTGTCCGGGTCTGTGGTACCCTTGTTTTTAGGAACCAAATGGATGATCCCAGTAGTGAAGAGACTTGGGAGCGACTTCTGGTTGAGAACGTCTTGAAACTGTCGGGCCGGGGTCGAGTCCCGGCCTTTTCCAGTTCGGGGCCATACGGACCGCCACAGCTACGTCATCCGGTGTTATAACCACGAGGTCCATGGGCGTTATACTCGCACACTGACTCGCGACAACTTCCGTCCAAGAGCCCTCGCTGTGGTTTACGGGCTCTGACCACAGGCTGCGCCAGAATGCTACAGTGTCGGCCTGATTCGGTGCTGGGCCCATTCCACTTACCATTGGTCGCTCCAATGATTTATAGAGCCTCTTCTGATTACTCTGGAAGAGACGATTCTGGTTTCCGTGTCGACCTCTCGGTATATCGCCGAATCCGCTTTCCCCAAGTAGCGATTCTCTGTTTCAGATCATCTATGCGCTCAGTTTTTGCATTATATCCGGCTGGGACAAACTGACATTTGTCCCAGCGAACGCCATCCTGACGGTGCGCACAATTCTTGGCCTGTTATTGCCTGATCTGAAGCATATCAGTCTGCCGATGAGAGCTTTAGCCTTTGCGATACGTTCCTCAATTCTTCTTCTCCATGCTGGGATAGCGCTACCTAAACCTAGCGAAACCTTGGCACCTATGATACGGCAGACTGCCAGCACGGCGCCAAAGAGAATTGAGTCCGTCTCGCAAAGGTCCCGGCTGGCTTCCAAATAGGTCACCAGCATTTAGTTCAGAGCCCTCACGACAGCCCGATTCTGATGCTTAGGTCTCCACAATCGCCTCTTCCAATGTACTCCTCATATGCTCTAATTCCAGTTACTGGGCGACTGTTCCATCTTTTTATCCATCATCCATTATTTGGGCGTCCATTAACGGGAGACGCTCAGGCCCGGCACCGTATCATGTGTGGCCATAAGCACAAACGGGCCTTTGCACCCTAATTTCTGCCGAGGCACGGCGCTCACACCTCTCGCAAGGCGCTGACTGACTGCGTTGACGTAGCAGTTTTGTCACTTAACTGTTACGTCAGCGGGCGATGGGATCGTCAATTCCCTACGCCATTATATTATATTATTATTATTGTTTTTTATTGATATTATTATAGTAATTTATTATTATTAATTTTAAAACTATTATTAAAGATTAGCATTAAAGATGTTTAACAAAGGTGAATTAGAAACATTTGTTTGTTCATTCAGCAGTGCATAATTAACATTATTACTTTTTTAAATCTCCAACTGTTCCAGCACACACAGTCGCAGCCCCTTATTACAAGTATGTAAGACTTCAAAGGAATGGTCGCTGGCTAGGTTATATCCAGTATCCAAGAGATGTTTAGCAAAATGGGATTTATCAGGATTGCAATTTCTGTACGCGGCCAAATGCTCTTTATAGCGCGTCCCGAGATAGCGACTAGTCTGACCCACGTAAACGGCGTGGCATTCGTCACACACAAGTTTATAAACACCCGATTTTTAACTAATATTTAACTTATCTTTAATATTACAAATATTCCTAAGCGAATTGTTTGTTTTGAATGCCACCACAAATATTGTACTCACAGTTTACTCCGTAACTTTACCAGTATATTGATAAAAAAGGAAACAAAATGTTTCAACAGAACGTGGCTCAAGAAATGAAAAACGTTATGATTCGCTACAGAAATTCTCACTTTGGTTCCATTTCAACATGCCAACGCCAAAAACATTTTTATTAAGCCTGCACGTAAACTGTAATTGAAAGCTACCAACTACAATTATACACAAAGCATAAAACACCCGGCTCGCGTGCGTACATGCTGGTAGCGTGCCACCTAGACGGGAATACATACACACGAACTATACGCCTACGAGGTGTAATCATCGGTTCTTCTGTGCAATTATTACACTTTCCAGATATTTTGAGGTAGCAGTCATTTTAGACTGAAGTTTGGATACCAGTTCTCGGTGATTTTTTAGTAAAATTGAAGTGACAAGCGAACTAGCAATCTACACGATAAATAATAAACAGTAAGTTAATTTGTCATTTCTGTTTTATGAAAAAAAAACATTAGTTTCTGTCCACATTTTCATCCGGGTGAAATTGGATTTTTTTAAAGAATAAAGATGACAAACAAACACAGTCCACCTTACGGTAAGTGGATGCTATGGCCCATAGACATCTAAATATAGGGCTTAAGAATTTAAATTCACATGCGTTACCATCCCTAAAGACTAAGTTGGAACAACTCGTGTCCAGTAAAAGGAGTCTTCGGTTCTCTACGTACACCATACGAAACACGGTAACATTAATCTGCTATTTTACGTTGTTATTCAAGGTGAATAAAAACAATTCAGAATCGATCCCACGATTAGTAAGCGCACTTGCGAAAATAGACAGAGAAATATCAAAATATCATTTTTTGAACATATCAGCATTGAGCTGCTATTTTACGCTGGTATTATGAGAGCGTGGTTCTTCTTCGGTCGAGCCAACACTCGTGCAAGAACCATAATATAAGCTGCAGCATGGCTCAAATGTTTTTTCTTTTTCTCTTAGTAGCTTTTACTACATCAAGATAACATGTATCCCAAAAGGCAATCCAGAACATGTTCTGAATATATTTGATAATTTAAAAATCTTTTAATATTTTTTTATCTGCTAACGTTTATTCGTGGTTGAGTAACAAACATCACAAATAAAATAATATAGATGATAAATTTAATCAATTATAAAGCTGGGCCAAATAACAAAAAAAGAAACAAGTGTGTCGACATTTTGCTAAGGGTGTATTGTTGGGTCCTTGTCGATAAGTAGAGCGGTTATTATTTTTGGACAAAACATTCGAAAAAACAACACTAAAAAAATTCCGTAAGAAAAAAATCATATTATTTTAACAAAATTGAAATTTCTACCAAAATAAAATTGTTCAATAGGTAATTGAGTGCACTTAACAAAATGGAAACGGTAGCTCGACCGCAACACCGAAATTGTAAAAGCTCTGATTTTCAAAATATACTGTACAGTTGACATTTGAAATTATTATCCACTGATACGATTTAAAATCATTTAATATGATCATAATATTATATGTATGTAAAAATTATTAACTGAATGGGCTGTTAGATTTAAAATTTTAAAGGTAATGATTTTTCTTTGTGTTAATGTCTTTTATAACATTTTGCAAAAATTTACCGCAAATGAAAATTATTATCACTCCACGTCCTTCTACTGCCTGATATGAATTTACTGTACTCAATGTAATAAGTTGACGGACCTTAAATTACATTATTTTTTCTTTTTAGAGATGTAAATTTCTTCACAATTTCTGATTCGTCTTCGGAACGAATATAGAAAAGGCATTTCTGTCGCAAAAGCCAAAGAGGTAATGAATCTCTGCATAGTTCGCTGTGTGTACCCCACTCTTCTTACGAGTATATTAGCCATTTTCTAAATACAATCGGCAGGCTTATCAAAGTCCGCATGGCTTACACAGATCACAGGTAGGCAATAAATCATAGAGTCCGTATAGCAAGCGCAGGTCGCAATTGGACAATTGATAACAAGGTCAAACAAAAAGCGAAATTCGTAGGGTTAATCAAAAAAGAGTAACAGCTAATTATAACGCCTTATCGTCCCCTGGCCGCACGTAAACAAAAGGCGTCCAAGCAGGAAGTGCGTGAGCTATGATCCAAAGTGTGAAAAGGGCAAGAATAGTCTCTTTCTTTTCGAAGTTAGAACAATGGTTTTACAAAGAGCTGATGTGAAAAATAAGTATTTGGCGCCTACTGTAGTATCGAAACCTATCGATTTAAATCGATCGCATTTATTGAAATGGTTTAAGAAGCAAGTATTGTTTATGATATACTTACTTACTTACTTACTTACTTATCTTCACGCACAATCCCTAATGGGGTAGCCAGAGAGAACAGATCGCCAAGTGTCACGATCCTTGCATACCTCTTTCGCTTCTTTCAGGTTCATTAACTTCTTCATACATGCACGTCTAGGTATCCGAGTACTGTTGACCTTCCCCTCTTCGAGCAATTTGCTCACATGGTCTTCGAAAGGTAGTTTCGGTCTACCTCGACACCTTTTAATACTTACTTTCGCTCTATATATTTTCTTCACCATCCGGTCTTCACGCATTCGCTCAACGTGCCCAAACCATTGTAGTACTCCCCTATCAATTTTTGTGATAAGGTCATCTTTCAATCCTGCCATATTGCGAATCTCTTCGTTTCGCTTTCGATCGGCTATGGTAACGCCACATAATACACGGTAATATAGTACTCGGTTTTTTTAGCGTAAAATACCGAGTACTATGTAATATAGTACTCGGTTGACCGAGCTTTGCTCGGTATTTTTCGCTCGGTTTTTTTTTAATTCGTGTGTTTTGGAAATTATATTTAGATACAAATTACATACTGATGAAATACGAATAATATTTTTTGATCTTAGCGACATAATAGAAAAAACTGAACTGGTTATTTGAATAAAAAATCATGAGTGCAATTAGTTTAATTTAAATTTTCGGGTTTTTAAAAAATACTAAAAAAAGGGCTCGAAAAAATAGATTTTCTCAAAAAAGAAAAGAACTTGAAAAAAAAATTAAAAAAGTCGGTTGGTATACATATATTAAAGAGTTATATATATATATTTATATATATATATATATATATATATATATATATATATATATATATATAATCATCCTTTCACGGTAAATGTTGATCCAGTGAGATGTTAGAACAATTGTTGATCCACCTATTTGACGTGTTTGCTCAGCTCCTACTCGCACAAACTGATATACTATGAGCGATTCTTGATGCGCGTATGACGTCGGTGGATCTGCACTAACAGGTTTTCAATATACTCGTCAACGACTTGACCAACATTTGTTGATCTATCAACGGTCGAAAAAATCATACTGAATATGATTTCTTAGATCCAGAGTATATTTAATTTAATATGCGACATTTACTTAGACTAAGTGGATCCGGAGCCATAATTGACGAATAGGTACTCGAACACGAAGCGGCAACGGCGCGTTCTGTGTGTGACAGAGAACCCAGTAGGCTACTTCGTTATAGTAATAAGGTAAGAAAATGCGTTATCTGCTGATTTCGTGGATCAAACTTTGGCAGGTTTTATTGTTTAAAGACGTTTGTTCGAGTTTTTGTTATCGTGTGAGTGAATTTGTGTTATTTTGTTCATTTGTCATAGATCAATTAGAAGATGATGGATGGTAATTTATTACAAATTAATTTACCACTCGAGTGTGTGTGTGTGTGTATGTGTTTGTGTGTGT